ACGCACTACGCAGTGCCAGACGTGTCCCCCTGCTTAAGCCAGTACATGTCCAGGCCTGTCTGAAGTTTGCTAGAGTGCATTTGGATGATCCAGAAGAGGATTGGGAGAATGTCATATGGTCAGATGAAACCAAAATATAACTTTTTGGTAAAAACTCAACTCGTCGTGTTTGGAGGACAAAGAATGCTGAGTTGCATTCAAAGAACACCATACCTACTGTGAAGCATGGGGGTGGAAACATCATGCTTTGGGGCTGTTTTTCTGCAAAGGGACCAGGACGACTGATCCGTGTAAAGGAAAGAATGAATGGGGCCATGTATCGTGAGATTTTGAGTGAAAACCTCCTTCCATCAGCAAGGGCATTGAACATGAAACGTGGCTGGGTCTTTCAGCATGACAATGATCCCAAACACACCGCCCGGGCAACGAAGGAGTGGCTTCGTAAGAAGCATTTCAAGGTCCTGGAGTGGCCTAGCCAGTCTCCAGATCTCAACCCCATAGAAAATCTTTGGAGGGAGTTGAAAGTCCGTGTTGCCCAGCGACAGCCCCAAAACATCACTGCTCTAGAGGAGATCTGCATGGAGGAATGGGCCAAAATACCAGCAACAGTGTGTGAAAACCTTGTGAAGACTTACAGAAATTGTTTGACCTGTGTCATTGCCAACAAAGCGTATATAACAAAGTATTGAAAAACTTTTGTTATTGACCAAATACTTATTTTCCACCATAATTTGCAAATAAATTCATTAAAAATCCTACAATGTGATTTTCTGGATTTTTTTTCCTCATTTTGTCTGTCATAGTTGACGTGTCCCTATGATGAAAATTACAGGCCTCTCTCATCTTTTTAAGTGGGAGAACTTGCACAATTGGTGGCTGACTAAATACTTTTTTCCCCCACTGTAGGTCCTGGATGGTAGGAAACTGGGCCGTACACACTATCCTTTGTAGTGCCTTACGGTCAGATGCCGAGCAGTTGCCATACCAGGCGGTGATGCAACCGGTCAGGATGCTCTCTGGTACAGCTGTAGAACTTTGTTGTCGGTGATCAAGCCTACCACTGTTGTGTCTTCAGCAAACCTAATGATGTTGGAGTCGTGCATGGCCACGCAGTCGAGGGTGAACAGGTAGTACAGGAGGGGACTAAGCACACACCCCTGAGGGGCCTCCGTGTTGAGGATCAGCGTGGCAGTTGTGTTGTTGCCTACCCTTACCACCTGGGGGCGGCCCAGGAAGTCCAGGATCCAGTTGCAGAGGGAGGTGTTTAGTTCCAGGGTCCTTCGCTTAGTGATGAGCTTTGAGGGCACTATGGTGTTGAACACTGAGCTGTAGTCAATGAACAGCATTCTCACATAGGTGTTCCTTTTGTCCAGGTGGGAAAGGGCAGTGTGGAGTGCGATTGAGTTATATACAATTTAAAATATTACATGACATTATATTTCATAACATTTTACCCAATACATTTAGTGTATTCCCTCAGGCCACTACTCCACTATCACATATTTACAATACAACATCCATGTGTACGTGTGTGTAGAGTGAGTGTCTATATGTATTTGTGTATGTACCTGTGTGTGTGTGTGTGTGTGTGTGTGTGTGTCTCTTCACAGTTCCCGCTGTTCCACAAGGTATATTTTAACCTGTTTTTTAAATCTGATTCTACTGCTTGCATAAGTTACCTGATGTGGAATAGAGTTCTGTGTAGTCATGGCTCTATGTAGTACTGTGCGCCTCCCATAGTCCGTTCTGGACTTGGGGACTGTGAAGAGACCTCTGGTTGCATGTCTTGTGGGGTATGCATGGGTGTCCGAGCTCTGTGCCAGTATTCCAAACAGACAGCTCGGGACATTCAGCTCGTCGACACCTCTCATAAAAACAAGCAGTGATGAAGTCAATCTCTCTTCCACTCTGAGCCAGGAGAGACTGACATGCATGTCATCAATGTTAGCTCTCCGTGTACTTTTAAGGGCCAGCCGTGCTGCCCTGTTCTGAGCCAACTGCAATTTTCCCAAGTCCCTCTTTGTGGCACCTGACCACACTACTGAAGAGTAGTCTAGGTACGACAAAACTAGGGCCTGTAGGACCTGCCTTGTTGATAGTGTTAAGGCAGAGCAGTGCTTAATTATGGACATACTGTTCCCCATCTTAGCTACTGTTGTATCAATATGCTTTGACCATGACAGTCTACAATCCAGGGTTACTCCAAGCAGTTTAGTCACCTTAACTTGTAAGTGTAGTTTAGTTGAGGTTTAGGGTTTAGTGAATGATTTGACCCAAATACAATGCTTTTAGTTTTGGAAATATTCAGGACTAACTTATTCCTTGCCACCCATTCCAAAACTAACTGCAACTCTTTAAGTGTTGCAGTTATTTCAGTTGCTGTAGTAGCTGACGTGTATAGTGTTGAGTCATCCGCATACATAGACACACTGGCTTTACTCAAAGCCAGTGGCATGTCGTAAAGATGGAAAAAAGCAAGGGGCTTAGACAGCTGCCCTGGGGAATTCCTGATTCTACCTGGATTATGTTTGAGAGGCTTCCATTAAAGAACACCCTCTGTGTTCTGTTAGACAAGTAACTCTTTATCCACATTATAGCAGGGGGTGTAAAGCCATAACACATACGTTTTTCCAGCAGCAGACTATGATCGATAATGTCGAAAGCCGCACTGAAGTCTAACAAAACAGCCCCCACAATCTTTTTATCATCAATTTCTCTCAGCCAGTCATTTGTGTAAGTGCTGTGCTTGTTGAATGTCCTTTTTTATAAGCATGCTGAAAGTTTGTTGTCAATTTGTTTACAGTAAAATAGCATTGTATCTAGTCAAACACAATTTTTTCCAATAGTTTACTAAGGGTTGGTAACAGGCTAATTGGTCGGCTGTTTGAGCCAGTAAAGGGGGCTTTACTATTCTTAGGTAGCGGAATGACTTTTGCTTCCCTCCAGGCCTGAGGGCACACACTTTCTACTAGGCTGAGATTGAAGATATGGCAAATAGGAGTGGCAATATCGTCCGCTATTATCCTCAGCAATTTTCCATCCAAGTTGTCAGACCCCGGTGGCTTGTCATTGTTAATAGACAACAGTAATTTGTTCACCTCTTCCACACTCACTTTGAAGTGCTTTGACCAGCCTTTCAAAGCACTTCATGGCTACCGACGAGAGTACTACGGGGCGGTAGTCATTTAGGCAGGTTACCTTCACTTTCTTGGGCACAGGGACTATGGTTGTCTGCTTGAAACGTAGGTATTACAGATTCGATCAGGGAGAGGTTGAAAATGTCAGTGAAGACACTTGCCAGTTGGTCCGTGCATGCTCGGAGTACACGTCCTGGTAATCCTTCTGGCCCCACGGCCTTGTGAATGTTGACCTGTTTAAAGGTCTTGCTCACATCGGCTACGGAGAGCGTGATCACACAGTTATCCCGAACAGCTGATGCTCTCATGCATGCTTCAGTGTTGCTGACCTCGAAGCGAGCATAAAGGGCATTTAGCTCGTCTGGTAGGCTCGCGTCACTGGGCAGCTCGCGGCTGGGTTTCCCTTTGTAGTCCGTAATAGTTTGCAAGCCTTGCCACATCCGACGAGCGTCAGAGCCGGTGTAGTAGGATTCTGCACTGTACTGTACTGCAGTTATACAGCACTCTGACTGCAATCTTTTTTCGTAAGGGTAACGTTTGAACTGCAATTTTTAAAATAGTTTAAACAATACCAAAATTTTTTTATGACGTGAGTTCATAATTCGGATATGGTCCTGCATATGACCGCTAAGCGGCAATGCAGTTCAATCTACCACAGACTTGACTACTTACCAGACTGTCGTCACTAATTACCACAGCCACAAAGTCATAAACCCTGCCTACAATTTATCTTCTTAAAATGTGGTTTTAAACCTAACCTTAACCACACTGCTAACCTTATGCTAATAAGTGTTTACGATATAGCCGTGTGTGGCTGTATTATCTAGTGGAAACCATTCCAGATGGCGCTCACCTTACTTCTGTCCCCCATCCACTCAGCAACAATGGTAGTTAATGCCGTTTTAGGTTCTCTGCTGTGTGCCTTTCCTTCATGTTCTCAGTTGTCAGAAGTACATGGGACTTCATGTCCCACTTCTCATCAATGTGATGGCTCGTTGCAGTGATGTGACAGCGTGTTCATAGACGTCCAACCATCTATTGCGTCACGTATGGTGTTTGAGAGCTCACGCTTTGTAGGCCTACTTGCAGAGCAATCATTGTTCAATTTCTCCATCCGGGCCGTCACAGTTTTTCAACATGGCATCTTGTAGTCTTTTTCTAGACATGCCAGTAGGGCAACACTGAAGCCGACATCCTCTACCATTGACAATGGCTACATATCAACTGCAATCATTTCTGTAATCAGCGCTGTGATTTTCTCACTCCGTCCCTTATCACACTGCTGGCAGAAACAGGTTGGGTCTCACGGGGGCCTCCCTTTCAGCATTGCACATGTACTACCACCTCGCAAAGTTTGAATTTCACAACCTTCTCATTTAACTTCTCAAAGTATTGCCATACAGGACTTCGCTGCTGTCACTTCCCTGTCTCACTCTGAAATTTTTTCAACTGTTAACGAGGATGACGTGCGGGGCGCTTTATATCTGTGGAAAATCATTTGAAAGTTGCATATCTCCTACTAACGTTACGGCATTGTTGCGTTAGCTGTTTGTTTAATTAAAAATGTTCCCTTTATGATGATGATCGGGACCTGTTAGTGGTAGTGTTGTGATAACCTCACTGTGCTTTTTCAGTGAGGGATTTGTTCTTAACGTTAACGATCCCAATTTAGTTTAAACGTCACACCCCTATTTAACACACATTTTAAACCTTTTCAACAGTAGTCTGTCTGAGTAAGGGAACTTCCTTACCGAATTAGCATGCAAGTTATGTAAAAAAGGGGTTAGAATATTGTCATGATGACTCATTCAAACAATGTTAAAATGTATGTAACAGACCATTAGATTTTTGGGGCGAGTGACCATGACCTTTGGGCAAGTAAAACATTACATGTACTTGCCTGATGTGCAAGTGCCTTTGAGAGCTTAATGTCAACACCTGCCTTGTATGTTTCTTCGTTTCCTTGCTGTTTGTAAAAAGTACTATATAAATACATGTGATTGATTGAGACTCTCTTTCTGTCTCTCTCCCCTCTAGGTGACCATCCAGTGGAACAGTAGCACCCAGAGGTTTCATCTCTCTCTAGGGACAGTAGGACCCAACTCAGGCTGTAGTAACTGTCACAACATTATACTGCATCAACTACAGGAGATGTTCAACAAGACCCCTACTGTGGTCCAGCTACTACAGGTACTGCACGCACACACACATACCTGGGCTTGAGCCTAACTATACAGGGGCAGGTCCGGGCACGCACACACTCTTACATACACTGGTACTTGTACACCCTCCATCAAAGGGCACAAATTCTATTACATTTATTTTCTGTTCATTGTCTAACTTCCTTCTCTCCCCTCCAAGGTGCTGTCGGACACCCAGGCCCCTCTGAATGCCATCAACAAGCTGCCCACAGTGCCCATGCTGGGGCTGACGCAGCGCACCAACACAGCCTACCAGTGTTTCTCCATCCTGCCCCAGTCACCCACACACATCCGCTTGGCCTTCCGCAACATGTACTGCATCGACATCTACTGCCGCAGCCGCGGGGTGGTGGCCATACGAGACGGGGCCTACAGCCTCTTTGACAACACCAAGATCGTGGAGGGCTTTTACCCCGCCCCGGGACTCAAGGTATGAGGGAGGAGAGGGCTTGGGTGGGTTTGTGTGATTGTATCAGGAATTTGAAAGTGCCCCTCAAGGATTCTCTCCCTCTCTACCAGACGTTCCTCAACATGTTTGTTGACAGTAACCAGGATGCTCGGCGACGCTCCATCAATGAAGATGACAACCCGCCCTCGCCGGTTGGCGGCGACGTGATGGACACCCTCATGAGCCAATTTCAGGCCCAGCAGCAGCAGCCAATGAGAGGGGGTCCTGTGGGGGTGTACCCTCCCCTCACCTCCCCGCCCACCCCTTACCATCCCAACGTGGCACCCTCGCCATCCATGATGCCCACACAGTCCCCAGGTGAGAGGGTTGTGTGTCCTGTGTGTTCCCTATTTGTGCCACGCGTGCTTGGCAGCCCACCATGGAGCAGAGGAAAGAGACCAAATGCTATCTGGTCCTCTCCTCACCCATCATCCACCCGCTAAGTGATATCACTCTCTCTCTCTGTGTGTGTGTTCACCCTGCCACTGCTGTCATGCGCATGCTGAATGGCAAACTGTGTGTGTGCGAAAGTTGAGTCCAGAAGGGAGAAAGCATGCATCCAGTCCTGCTCACTCATCTCAGCCCTAGAGCCTTTGTCCGCTGCCCAGCTTTAGCCTGTGTGTTTGTGGGTGTGTGTGTGTGTGTACAGGTCTGTGTGTGAGTGTGTGTATGAATGGATGTATGTGACAGGGTTTCCGTTAGGAAAATGTGCCGCCAGACAACGTGGCCGGGAAGATTTTAATTTACCAGCCATAAAAAAATTAAAAATCCTGTATGCATTGGGTGCATAACCCATTAGGGCGTCCACCCACGGTGCTCAGAATGACAGAAATCACATTTAGAATATGGTAATGCATCTTAAAATGAACTAAATGTAATGAAAGAAAGTGAATGAAAAGGAGAGTAATGCTGTAGCGGTGGGTCCAATAGGGAAGTAAATGGAAATCAATTTGCCGAAATTATTACTTATTATTTTTACTCCAGAAATAAATACAATTATTCATAATACTTCACCAGAAAGCATGACTTAGCCACAGAGAAATCAAGGATCATTAGCTTATTGTAAAAAATAGCCGTGGATTGTTTCATATCACAAGCTCGTAGGCCTATGCCTATTTTGGAAGGCCGCAATTTCAGCAGCGCGCGTGGCAGTAGGCCTAGCTGATTATTGAGTTGAGGCTGTCAGTGAAAAGCATCTAAAATATGTCAAGATGTGTCTTGAGTATAATTTAAAAGGTTGAGACGAAGGGGAGGGGTGTGTGGCGAAGATATAGGCGAGTCTCTCTCCAGAATGGCTTAGCTGTCTCCCGCCAATTCTTGCGCATTCATTGTGTGAATTGTTTGCCCTTTGATGACATACAGTCCGTGGAAAGTATTCAGACCCCTTCCCTTTTTCCACATTTTGTTATGTTACAGCCTTATTCTAAAATTGATTAAATAAATAAAAATCCTCATCATTCTACACACAATTCCCCATAATGACAAAGCAAAAACAAGTTTATTTGCATAAGTATTCAACCCCTTTGCTATGAGACTCAGAATTGAGCTCGGGTGCATCCTGTTTCCATTGATCATCCTTCAGATGTTTCTACAACTTGATTGGAGTCCACCTGTGGTAAATTCAGTTGATTGGACATGTTTTGGAAAGGCACACACCTGGCTATATAAGGTCCCACAGTTGACAGTGCATGTCAGAGCAAAAACCAAGCCATGAGGTCGAAGGAGTTTTCCTTGGCGCTCCGAGACAGGATTGTGTTGAGGCATAGATCTGGGGAAGGTTACCAAAAAATGTCTGCAGCATTGAAGGTCCCCAAGAACACAGTTGCCTCCATCATTCTTAAATGGAAGAAGTTTGAAACCACCAAGACTCTTCCTAGAGCTGGCCGCCCGGCCAAACTGAGCAATCGGGGAGAAGGGCCTTGGTCAGGAAGGTGACCAAGAACACGATGGTCACTCTGACAGAGCTCCAGATTACCTCTGTGGAGATGGGAGAACCTTCCAGAAGGACAACCATCTCTGCAGCACTCCACCAATCAGGCCTTTATGGTAGAGTGGCCAGACGGAAGCCACTCCTCAGTAAAAGGCACATGACAGCCCGCTTGGAGTTTGCCACAAGGCACCTAAAGGACTCTGACCATGAGAAACAAGATTCTCTGGTCTGATGAAACCAATATTGAACTCTTTGGCTTGAATGATAAGCGTCACGTCTGGTGGAAACCTGGCACCATCCCTACGGTGAAGCATGGTGGTGGCAGCATCATGCTGTGGAGATGTTTTTCAGGGACAGGGAGACTAGTCATGATCGAGGGAAAGATGAACGGAACAAAGTACAGAGAGATCCTGTTTTTCTGCTAAGCGAACAGGACAACTTCACCGTATCAAAGGGACGATGGACTGGGCCATGTACCGTCAAATCTTGGGTGAGAACCTCCTTCCCTCTGCCAGGGCATTGAACATGGGTCGTGGATGGGTATTCCAGCATGACAATGACCCAAAACACACGGCCAAGTTAACAAATGAGTGGCTCAAGAAGAAGCACATTAAGGTCCTGGAGTGGCCTAGCCAGTCTCCAGACCTTAATCCCATAGAAAATCTGTGGAGGGAGCTGAAGGTTCGAGTTGCCAAACGTCAGCCTCGAAACCTTAATGACTTGGAGAAGATCTGCAAAGAGGAGTGGGACAAAATCCATCCTGAGATGTGTGCAAACCTGGTGGCCAACTACAAGAAACGTCTAACCTCTGTGATTGCCAACAAGGGTTTATCCACCAAGTACTAAGTCATGTTTTGCAGAGGGGTCAAATACTTATTTCCCTCATTAAAATGCAAATCAATTTATAACATTTCTGACATGCGTCTTTCTGGATTTTTTTGTTGTTATTCTGTCTCTCACTGTTCAAATAAATCTACCATTAAAGTTATAGACTGATCATGTCTTTGTCAGTGGGCAAACGTACAAAATCAGCAGGGGATCAAATACTTTTTTCCCTCACTGTACATGATGACAAACAAAAATACACACAGGCCAATTTAATTCCGCTACATTATGCAAATGAACCTATAGACCAATAAGAATGATGGTAAAATGTATTTACATCTACTGGTATTTCCATCAATGAATAAAAAACATTATTTTGCAATTGGTCATTTTGGCCGGCAACAGTTTTATTTATCGGCTTTACATTTTTTATCGACAATTGCCGGCTAATGGAAACCCTGGTATGTGAGTGAGTGAGTGTGTGTGTGTGAGCTGATCCTATTGGCCCGTGTCTGACGAGCCTTATTGGTCGGTGTGGTGTGTGTTTGTGTGTGTGCGCAGGGACCATCCATGCGTCGGGCTCCCCTAGCGGAGCATTGAGGGCTCCCTCTCCCTTTGGGCCCACCCCTTCTCCCTCCTCTCTGGGCATAGCTATGGGCCCAACCAGCTTTGCCAGCCCGCATGGTAAGTGGCGCAACGCACTGACCACAGGTACCAGCCGGGCTGGGGTAGAGGATGGGACTGGGCTGGAGTAGAGGATGGTAAGGATGAGGCTGGGCTGTGGTAGAGGAGGGGGCTGGGCTGTAGCAGGCTGGGCTGAATGGATGGGTCCTCCAAGGAGTATAACCATAGCCAGACCCTAATGCAGGTTGAGAAAACACTGTGCCTGGGTAGACTGAGGATGGGACTGGGCAGAGCTGTAGACCAACCTCCGGCCCATGGACCGGGACTGGTGCATAGGATGTTGTTCACCGGTCCCTCTGATAGTTCTCTGACACCTGTTTAGTCCGTTCTCAAGTGGTTGAGAACCCCAGGTTGAGTGGGTCACAGTGGTGGTTTAACTGTGGAGAGTTTGTATTGGAGAGAGAATGGGAGAGATAAAGTTGTGTCAATCAGTGTGCGTCTAAATGTCTGTGATTGTCTGTCTGAGTACACTGTAATGGGTTCAAGACAATGTAGCTGGCCACTTGCATTAATAAGATGATGATGAAGATTATAAGGATGATAATATCAGTGGACACTGTACTGATGATGATGATGATGATGATGATGATGATGGTGGTGGTGGTGTGTGTGTGTGTCTGGCTACGTGTGTCTATGTTTCCCAGGTGCTCTGGACCCCAGCTCCCCTTATGCCATGGTGTCTCCCAGCCAGAGGGGCCAGTGGCCAGGCTCTCCCCAGGTCTCAGGGCCCTCTCCTGGGGCTCGTATCCACGGCATGTCCCCTGGAAACCCCTCACTCCACTCACCCATCCCCGACGCCTCACACTCCCCACGCGCTGGCTCGAGTGAGTACCACACACACATACACAACACCTGACTGACTGACAATCCACTCCACTGAAAATCTAATGTTTTTACTAAAATGTAAGGGCTGTTAAGACCTTTGCATGAATGTATATAAAAAAGAAATCTTAAAAGATGTGTTCAGTCTCCTCATTCCCTAGGCTAACTGTACTGTCCTTTCCTCTCTCCAGGTTCCGGGGCCATGCCCAGCAGTATGCCCCCGCCCCGTAAGCTACCTCAGCGTTCCTGGGCCGCCTCCATCCCCACCATCCTCACCCACAATGCCTTGCATGTATTGCTGCTGCCCTCGCCCACACCCTGCCTGGTGCCGGGCCTGGCAGGAAGTTACCTCTGCTCGCCGCTGGAGCGCTTCCTGGGCTCGGTTATCATGAGACGCCACCTGCAGAGGATCATCCAGCTAGAACCCAACGTGAGTGGTGGAGATCTGAAGTTGACTCATCTTGGTTTAGTCCATCTGTCTTTCTTGTTCAGTCTCTCTGTGTGTGTCTCTTTCTCTGTGTGTGTCTCTCTCACTCACTCACTCACTCTCTGGCTTTTGTTTTTAACATATTTCTGGCCTTCTCACACTTCTCTCCCTCTTCATCCTTCCATCTCTCTGTCTCTCCATCTCATCCAGCTGGAGGCTAACATGAGTTACCTCTGTCATCAAATGTTTGTTCATACTCCATCTCTCTTCAGCTTAACCAGCTATCTCTCTCATCCAATTTCTTCATTTCACTGTCAAATCAACCGCAATTTAGCCAGCTCTAATTAATCTCTCAGTCAAATTCCTCCGTAGAGGCTCTCAGCAGGGCTGTCCCTTATTCCACAGCTTTTTTCCAACCTTGAATCTCTTGAACCTTCAGCCCAAGCTGTCTGAGTTAGGTTTGAATGGGGGAACACATTTACCGGGATTTACTGTCCAAAACCATTCACTTTTCCCGGGATAAATAACTGCGAGAAACCGGTAAATTATAATACATTATTTACATAAACAGCATGGCGTGAAATGGAACTGTTAAATTATATGTAATGTGTAAATCTGGCTTCTCTACGGCCTCTGCATGATGAATCATCACTGCTCAGGGTGGGGACAGACAGCCCATCTCAGTATGGAGCGCAGTTCACAATGCATGTAGACCTATCATCTCATCATGGAAACTTGTTTTGTTGTGACAAGTAGGCCTGCATTTGCTGCAGCAGTCTATGCTACAGTAATACAAAGACCGAATCCACGTCTAATTTACCCATCTCAATCTCGCTTTCGGGGTCACCTTATCGGTGCACACGCGAGCACTCTCGCAGTCTTTCTCTCTCCAACTCCATTCAAATTGCATCCAGAATAGATAGTCCTGTTCTAGAATGATATATAGCCCTATTTATAGATTACCTTTCCTACCTCTTTCAGGTAATACATTCAATGCAGTATTAGCCTTATATTTAGCTAATTAATTATGGGTTATGCATAATAAGCTTCTAACTTATAGCCTCTGTCTCTTGCGCAATACGCACGCACCTGTGCTCCGCTGGCCTCTCTCCTTAAAAAACGCTCCTTAGCTTTTGGAGTCTCATGCAGGAAAAGCTATTTCATTTAACTGTTGAAAGTGAGGAAGGAATGAAGCAACAATAGAGAGAGAAAGAGGAGGTAGGCTAATAACATTAGGGGAAATATTATGAAAGGTATACACTATGTATACCAAAGTATGTGGACACCCCTTCAAATTAGTGGATTCGGCTATTTCAACCACACCCGTTGCTGACAGGTGTATAAAATCGAGCACACAGCCATGCAATCTCCATAGACAAACATTGGCAGTAGAATGGCCTTACTGAAGAGCTCAGTGACTTTCAACGTGGCACCGTCATAGGATGCCACCTTTCCAACAAGTCAGTTAGTAAACTTTCTGCCCTGCTAGAGCTGCCCCGGTCAACTGTAAGTTCTGTTGTTGTGAAGTGGAAATATCTAGGCGCAACAACGGCTCAGCCGCGAAGTGGTAGGCCACACAAGCTCACAGAACGGGACCGGCGTGTGCTGAAGCGCGTAGCGCATAAAAATTGTCTGTCCTCGGTTGCAACACTCATTACCGAGTTCCAAACTGCCTCTCGAAGCAACGTCAGCACAAGAACTGTTCGTCGGGAGCTTCATGAAATGGGTTTCCATGGCAGAGCAGCCTAAGATCACAATGCCAAGCGTCGGCTGGAGTGGTGTAAAGCTCTCCGCCATTGGACTCTGGAGCAGTGGAAACGCATTCTCTGGAGTGATGAATCACACTTCAACATCTGGCAGTCCGACGGACGAATCTAGGTTTGGCGGATGCCAGAACAACGCTACTTGCCCGAATGCATAGTACCAACTGTAAAGTTTGGTGGAGGAGGAATAATGGTCTGGGGCTGTTTTTCATGGTTTGGGCTAGGCCCCTTAGTTCCAGTGAAGGGAAATCTTAACACTACAGCATAGTGACATTCTAGTCTATTTTGTCCTTCCAACTTTGTGGCAACAGTTTGGTGAAGGCCCTTTCCTGTTTCAGCATGACAATGCCCCCATGCACAAAGCAAGGTCCATACAGAAATGGTTTGTTGAGATCGGTGTGGAAGAACTTGACTTGCCTTCACAGAGCCCTGACGTCAACTCCATCAAACACTTTTGGGATGAATTGGAACGCCGACTGCGAGCCAGGCCTAATCGCCCAACATCAATACCTGACCTCACTAATGCTCTTGTGGCTGAATAGAAGTCGGTCACCGACGCAATGTTCCAACATCTAGTGGAAAGCCTTCCCAGAAGAGTGGAGGCTGTTATAGCAGCAAAGGGGGGACCAACTCCATATTAATGCCCATGATTTTGGAATGAGATGTTCGACGAGCAGGTGTTCACATACTTTTGGTCATGTAGTGTATATGCGTCAATCTACTAATTATACAAATAGGCCCTATTATATTTAAATCAAAAAATTATATATGCTAGCCTATACTTGTAACTTTGTAGGCTGCATGTGCTGCACCAGAATCGCATGTTTTCTCCCTGCTTTATCATGGTTTGAACGTAAATCTGGTCTATATAATAGGCTACGGTATAGTACAGTAATACAGTTCACACTCAAAAAGATTAGCCTACTGGAACTAGTTGCATTTATTTACCCAAGAGAGCATATAGCTAGCTACATCAATGGGCTTTTATGTTTTTCTGTTGTGCATAATGTGCAGTAGCCTATATTATATACACTACTGGTCAAAAGTTTTAGAACACCTACTCATTCAAGGGTTTTATTTTATTCTTACAATTTTCTACATTGTAGAATAATAGTGAAGACATCAAAACTATGAAATGACACATATGGAATCATGTAGTAACCAAAAAAGTGTTAAACAATTCTTCAAATAGCCAGCCTTTGCCTTGATGACTGCTTTGCACACTTTTGGCATTCTCTCAACCAGCTTCATGAGGTAGTCACCTGGAATGCATTTCAATTAACAGGTGTGCCTTCTTAAAAGTTATTTTGTGGAATTTCTTTCCTTCTTAATGCGTTTGCGCCAATCAGTTGTGTTGTGACAAGGTAGGGGTGGTATACAGAAGATAGCCCTATTTGGTAAAAGACCATGTCCATATTATGGCAAGAACAACTGAAATAAGCAAAGAGAAACGACAGTCCATCATTACTTTAAGACATGAAGATCAGTCAATACGGACATTTTCAAGAACTTTGAAAGTTTCTTTAAGTGCAGTCGCAAAAACCATCAAGCGCTATGATGAAACTGGCTCTCATGAGGACCGCCACAGGAATGGAAGACCCAGAGTTACCTCTGCTGCAGAGGATAAGTTCACAGAGTTCAAGTAACAGACACATCTCAACATCAACTGTTCAGAGGGGACTGTGTGAATCAGGCCTTCATGGTCGAATTGCTGCAAAGAAACCACTACTAAAGGACACCAGTAATAAGAAGAAGAGACCTGCTTGGGCCAAGAAACTCGAGCAATGGACGTTAGACCGGTGGAAATGTGTCCTTCGATCTGATGAGTCCAAATTTGAGATTTTTGGTTCCAACTGCCGTGAGACGCGGTGTGGGTGAACGGATAATCTCTGTATGTGTATTTCCCACCGTAAAGCATCGAGGAGGTGGTGTTATGGTGTGGGGGTGCTCTGCTGTTGAAACTGTGATTCAAGGCACACTTAGCCAGCTTGGCTACCACAGCATTCTGCAGCGATATGCCATCCCATCTGGTTTGGGCTTAGTGGGACTATCATTTGTTTTTCAACAGGACAATGACCCAACACACCTCCAGGCTGTGTAAGGGCTATTTTCCCAAGAAGGAGAGTGATGGAGTGCTGCATCAGATGACCTGGCCTCCACAGTCCCCTGACCTCAACCAAATTGAGATGGTTTGGGATGAGTCGGACCGCAGAGTGAAGAAAAAGCAGCCAACAAGTGCTCAGCATATGTGGGAACTCCTTCAAGACTGTTGGAAAAGCAATCCAGGTGAAGCTGGTTGAGAGAATGCCAAGAGTGTGCAAAGCTGTCATCAAGGCAAAGGGTGGCTATTTGAAGAATCTCAAATATAACATTTTGATTGAACACTTTTTTGGTTACTACATGATTCCATATGTGTTATTTCATAGTTTTGATGTCTTCACTATTATTCTACAATATAGAAAATGGTAAAATAAAGAAAAACCCCTTGAATGAGTAGGTGTTCTAAAACTTTTGACCGGTAGTGTATGTATTGGATAACGGCACAATCATTTGGGCTTTTTTGGACTTGGGCTCTTTAAATGTATGGCTCATCAGGCTCAGGTAGCATCAGGCTTGAAAATTCGATCAAAGCTCTAATCAAATCCAGACATAGGGCTTTTTATATGCTTTATAATGCTTTTGAATAACACTTCCGGTTTTGGCGGGAAATATCGGGTTACCCGGGAGAAAATAGATTTATTCTCGGGATGGAACGTTTGTAAAATACAGGGAACATATTAAACCCTAGTCTTGAGTAGATAGAGGCTAATATCCTACCCCCATTAAAATTTGACCCTTTGAAAAGGTCCATATCGCTCTGAAGATTATGTTACTTTATAGAACTAATGTGGAACAAACTCTCCCTTGTATTTACCTTTGGTTTTTTGTCAGTAATTTTTCTATATTATAATAATCCTTTCTCTCTCTTCTCCCTTTTCTCTCCTCTCCCTTCTCTCTCTCCTCTCACTCTCTCTCTTTTTCTTCAGCTGTCCATCGTGAACTCTAATGAGCCGGGTGTGATCATGTTCAAGACAGAGGTGTTGAAGTGTCGCGTGGCGCTCAACCCAAAGTCCTACCAGACCTTGCAGCTCAAAGTCACCCCCGAGAATGCCGGGCCCTGGTCACAGGAGGAGCTACAGGTCCTGGAGAAGTTCTTCGAGACCCGGGTAAGACTATTGATTTGGACTAGACTAGTGACTAGCATCTTTGGGTCCTTTAAGATTGCTATTTAAAACCCATGTATTATTATTGTATGGGCAATTCCACGGTAAAAGAGTGACGCTGAGACTCACCTTTTCACTTTAAAATGTATGCCAAACAAAAATCATTGATTGCAAAGTTTAAGAAGCCATACACCTATATGTATGTCTACTTTTAACTATTGCCTCTGAACATTTTACTGAAACAGGTTTAGTTGAAGAACAGTGCAGATGCAAAGTTCAGTAACAGAATGACAGTAAAATCAGTTTTCCAAAAACTACTACTCAGAAAAACTACTACTTTATTGAACTACAGTAAGTGAGGTGGATTAACACCCGGTAACAGAATGACATCATGGGTCCTTGATCTGTACTATACAGAAATGCATAATTATGAATGTTATTCTCTTACATTTTAGTCATTTAGCAGACGCTCTTATCCAGAGCGACTTACAGTTAGTGAGTGCATACATTTTTCATACTGGCCCCCCGTGGGAAACGAACCCCCACAACCCTGGCGTTGCAAGCACCATGCTCTACTGACCTACAGGGGACTCTTCATGGTGATGTATCCTGAATAGGTACTCAAAGGTAGAAAAATGTAATATCCTCCTTTGCATATTATTCTAATGAGCTCCGCCCCCAATCAAGACCAAATTTGGTTGGTCCAGACTAGACCAAATCTGTACCAATCATAGATGTCAATGTTTCACAAGTTTGGATATCAAAATACAGCACAGTAGAGTACAGCACAGTTCAGTAAAGAAAAGTAGAGTACAGTCTACATTTACTTGTTACTTCTGTGAACTTTCATAATCCTCCCTCATGAAGGAGAGAAATTAGAAAATATATTAAAGAGAGAAATTAGAAAATATATTAAAGATATGTGAGTTTTTGGTAACAGAATGACAAGACACTAGGCTATATTTCTTAAACTTACAGAAAGCAAATAATTTCTGCAAAACTAAATATAAATGTTAATATTTGTTGGCAGGGGCCTTTACTTCAACATTATTGTGTTGTGATGCATTTCTATTATCTTAAGACTTTGTCTAGTAGATGTTTTTTAAGACCCCTTTTCCATCTTTGTGACCAGCAATCAAAGATGGATTTTTAAGATGGAAAATGGTTGAAAAACCATATCTATGCCTTCATTTTGCAAAAATATAGACTCTTAGCTTTCATTTGACACCAAATTTCATATGCTCCTATAAACTTCACATGTTGGTGCTCATGGGTCTTTTTACATGGAAATGACCGTATACACACGCACGCACAAACCCTTATTCAATAACCTCGACCTTGACCAAAAATAACTTCTGGATATCAGGACAGCGATTACTCACCTCGTATTGGACGAAGATTTTTTCTTCAACGAGTCGGACGTGAAGGATATCCTACAGACACCCGACAAGGCCCAAATCCCTGTAACTCGCATGAGAAAGAGACAGAGATATCGTGGACGTAGGTCGGGGTGCCTTGTTAGGATCCGACGGCGAGCGAGTAAACTGCCTCTTCCATCAATCCTATTAGCCAATGTTCAATAATTTGAAAATAAATTAGACGACCTAAGATTACGGTTATCCTACCAACGGGACATTAAAAACTGTAATATCTTATGTTTCACCGAGTCGTGGCTGAACGACAACATGGATAACATACAGCTGGCGGGATACACGCTACATCGCCAGGATAGAACGGCTGACTCCGGTAAGACAAGGGGTGGCGGTCTGTGTATATTTGTAAACAACAGCTGGTGCATAAAATCTAATACTAAGGAAGTCTCGAGGTTTTGCTCGCCTGAGGTAGAGTATCTCATGATAAGCTGTAGACCACACTATTTACCAAGAGAGTTTTCATCTATATTTTTCGTAGCTGTCAATTTACCACCACAAACCGATGCTGGCACTAAGATTGCACTCAATGAGCTGTATAAGGCCATAAGTAAACAGGAAAACGCTCATCCAGAGGCAGCACTCCTAGTGGCCGGGGACTTTAATGCAGGGAAACTTAAATCTGTTCTACCTCATTTCTACTAGCATGTTAAATGTGCAACCAGAGGGGGAAAAAACTCTAGACCACATTTACTCCACACACAGAGACGTGTACAAAGCTCTCCCTCGCCCTCCATTTGGTAAATCTGACCAAACTCTATCCTCCTGATTCCTGCTTATAAGCCAAAACTAAGCAGGAAGCACCAGTGACTCGGTTAATAAGGAAGTGGTCAGATGACACAGATGCTAAGCTACAGGACTGTTTTGCTAGCACAGACTGGAATATGTTCCGGGATTCTTCTGATGGCATTGAGGAGTACACCACATCAGTCACTGGCTCCACCAATAAGTGCATCGATGACGTCGTCCCCACAGTGACCGTACATACATACCCCAACCAGAAGCCATGGATTACTGGCAACATCCACACTGAGCTAAAGGGTAGAGCTGCCACTTTCAAGGAGCGGGACTCTAACCCGGACGCTTATAAGAAATCCCCTATTCCTTCCGACGAACCATCAAACAGGCAAAGCGTCAATACAGGACTAAGATTGAATCGTACTACACCGGCTCTGATGCTTGTCGGATGTGGCAGGGCTTGAAAACTATTACAGACTACAAAGGGAAGCACAGCCGCGAGCTGCCCAGTGATACAAGCCTACCAGACGAGCTAAATCACTTCTATGCTCGCTTCGAGGCACGCAACACTGAAGCATGCATGAGAGCATCAGCTGTTCCGGATGACTATGTGATGACCAAGCTCTCTGTAGCCGATGTGAGTAAGACTTTTAAGCAGGTCAACATTCACAAGGCCACAGGGCCAGGCGGATTACCTTGACATGTACTCCGAGCATGCACTGACCAACTGGCAAGTGTCTTCACTTACATTTTCAACATGTCCCTGACTGAGTCTGTAATACCAACATGTTTCAAGCAGACCACCATAGTCCCTGTGCCCAAGAACACTAAGGTAACCTGCCTAAATGACTACCGACCCGTAGCACTCACGTCTGTAGCCATGAAGTGCTTTGAAAGGCTGGTCATGGCTCACATCAACACCATTATCCCAGAAACCCTAGACCCACTCCAATTTGCATACCACTCCAACAGATCTTATGCATTCTCTATTGCACTCCACACTGCCCTTTCCCACCTGGACAAGAGGAACACCTACGTGAGAATGCTATTCATTGACTACAGCTCAGCGTTCAACACCATAGTGGCTTCAAAGCTCATCACTAAGCTAAGGACCCTGGGACTAAACACCTCCCTCTGCAACTGGATCCTGGACTTTCTGACGGGTTCGCCCCCAGGTGGTAAGGGTAGGTAACAACACATCTGCCACGCTGATCCACAACACAGGGGCCCCTCAGGGGTGCGTGCTTAGTCCCCTCCTGTACTCCCTGTTCACCCATGATTGCATGGCCAGGCACGACTCCAACACCATCATTAAGTTTGCTGACAACACAACAGTGGTAGGCCTGATCACCAATAGTGATGAGACAGCCTATAGGGGGAGGTTAGAGACCTGGCCGTGTGGTGCCAGGATAACAATCTCTCCCTCAGCGTGATCAAGACAAAGGAGATGATTGTGGACTACAGGAAAAAAAAGAGGACTGAGCACGCCCCCATTCTCATCGACGGGGCTGTAGTGGAACAAGTTGAGAGCTTCAAGTTCCTTGGTGTCCACATCACCAACAAACTATCATGGTCCAAACACTCCAAGACAGTCGTGAAGAGGGCACGACAAAGCCTATTCCCCCTCAGGAGACTGAAAAGATTTGGCATGGGTCCTCAGATCCTCAAAGTTCTACAGCTGCACCATCGAGAGCATCCTGACTGGTTGCATCACCGCCTGGTATGTCAACTGCTCGGCCTCCGACCGCAAGGCACTACAGAGGGTAGTTCGTACGGCCCAGTACATCACTGGGGCCAAGCTTCCTGCCATCGAGGACCTCTTTACCAGGCGGTGTCAGAGGAAGGCCCTAAAATTTACCAAAGACTCCAGCCACCCTAGTCATAGACTATTCTCTCTGCTACCGCATGGCAAGCGGTACCGGAGCGCCAAGTCTAGATCCAAAAGGCTTCTTAACAACTTCTACCCTCAAGCCATAAGACTCCTGAACAGCTAATCATGGCTACCCAGACTATTTGCATTGCCCCCTCACCCCACCCCATCCCAACCCCTTCTTTTATGCTGCTGCTAATCTGTTTATTATTTATGCATAGTCACTTTAACTCTACCCACATGTACATATTACCTCAATTACCTCGACTAACCGGTGCCCCCGCACATTGACTCCGTACCGGTACCCCCTGTATACAACCTCCCTACTGTTATTTTATTTTACTGCTGTTCTTTCATTATTTGCTATTTTTCTGTTGTAAATACCTGATGTATTCGGCGCATGTGGCAAATAACATTTGATTTGATTTGACGTGACGCATGGCATTCAGACCAAAGAATTCAATGTTGGTTTCATCAGACCAGAAAATCTTGTTTCTCATGGTCTGAGAGTCCTTTACGTGCCTTTTGGTAAACTCCAAGCGGGCTGTCATGTGCCTTTTTACTGAGGAGTGGTTTCTGTCTGGCCACTACCATAAAGACCTGATTGGTGGAGTGCTGCAGAGATTGTTGTCCTTCTGGAAGGTTCTCCCATCTCCACAGAGGAACTCTGGAGCTCTGTCAGAGAGACCATCTGGTTCTTGGTCACCTCCCTGAATAAGGCCCTTCTCCCCCGATTGCTCAGTTTGGCCGGGTGGCCAGCTCTAGCAGGAGTCTTGGTGGTACCAAACTTCTTCCATTTAAGAATGATGGAGGCCACTGTGTTCTTGGGGACCTTCAATGCTGCAGACATTTTTTGGTACCTTTCCCCAAATATGTGCCTCGACACAATCCTGTCTCGGAGCTCTGCAGACAATTCCTTCGACCTCATGACTTGGTTTTTGCTCTGACATGCACTGTCAACTGTGGGACCTTATATAGACATGTATGTGCCTTTCCAAATCATGTCCAATCAACTGAATTTACCACAGGTGGACTCCAATCAAGTTGTAGAAACATCTCAAGGATGATCAATGGAAACAGGATGCACCTGAGCTCATTTTTGAGTCTCATAGCAAAGGGTCTGAATACTTATGTAAATAAGGTATTTCTGTTTTTTGCTTTTTACACATTAGGAAAAATGTCTTAACCTGTTTTTGCTTTGCCATTATGGGGTATTGTGTGTAGATTGATTGAGGAATTTTATTTATTTAATCAATTTTAGAATAAGGCTGTAACTTAACAAAATGTGGAAAAAGTCAAGGGTTCTGAATATTTTCCGAATGCACTGTATATGAACAAATCCATTATCAAACCTTTTAACACTAAACAAAACAGATTAACTTCTGTAATTCATGCGTAGTGGTAGAATACCTGCACTCTCACTCTCCACTCTGGCCTCCATGTTCCTCAGCTCCACTCTCTGTTCCATCACGATGTTTCCCAGGTTGTGCACCATTTCTCTCAGCTGTTTCAGCTCATCCCAGATGTCAGGGGTGGTGGTCTGGCTCACACTGCTCTCTCCCCCTTCACTGTAACCCTGTTGAATGATGTCATTGTCTTTGACCCCTCCACTCTCTCCCTAAGCCCATGCCCCAGAAAGACAGAACAGCAACACCAGCAGAGCTACAGCACACCTCATTCTGAAATGACACCTCTTCAGAAATGATGTGGTCTATGAGGCTCAGTCCCCTTCTTTATACACACACACACAACCAAGTGAGCCAGTGCATGGGAATATAACATATGTCTCTGACAGAAAATGTGGAACTAAAGCCAAGGATCTGATAAAGAGAAACACTGGAGGAACTGACCTCATAGCAGGTCATCTGAATCTGAAGCTGGAAAAGGCTGTGGGACAACAGAACCTGTAATTTGTTTGAATTTCTCTCTTTATCTTCATAAAGTGCAAGAATATACACGTGTAGTGGTAGGCTTTGACTAAAAAGTAAAATTACTAAGTCAAGTCTCTCTCCTCTTCATGTACTTTTCCTCGCCCTGTCCCTTTATCCTCCCCTCTCCTCCCTCTCCCCCATCTTCACTCCAGGTGGCCGGCCCTCCCTTCAAGTACAACACGTTGAATGCCTTCACCAAGCTGCTTGGGGCCCCCACCAACATCCTCAGGGACTGTGTCCGCATCATGAAGCTCGAACTGGTGAGGCCTTTTCCTCTGGCTGTGGGTGTCGCTGGGTGGGTGGGTGGTGCTGCTCCATAGATAACTTTGTGTCTATTATGAATGTGAGGGGCAGGTGATATGTTTGGCTGTGTTTCTGCCTGTGTATGTGAGAGACAAATATGTGAGTGACCGCCTCGATTCGGTCGTATGTAGCAAAATTTGAAATTGTGTTTTTTACATTTGAAAAAAGTAGACTCAGAGCTAGAAAATGGTATATCATACACTGCAGTTGAGGAACAATGGGAAAGTAATTCTGCTTTGAAAGTTGATAAACTTGTAACCCCACTTTTGAGAAGATGGCCCTTGAATGTTTTGGTACACCTACTGGAGAGCACTTCTTTGTCCACACCCATTCAGCATCGTTCACACCCTCTTAAGCCTTAGCCCCACCCATCTCTTTAAGGATTCACATGTGAGGCCATGTGGTAAATAGACGCTATATCAAATAAAATCTAAGTTTATTTGTCACTTGCACAGGATACAGAAGGTGTAAACGCTACAGTGAAGTGGTTACTTGCATAGTAGCAATATCAAAAAGAGATGGTGTCCAGATAAAAATATTTTATAAATATTTTATCATTATTAGATGACGCTTACCCAACACACTTGTCAAAATTGATGGGTCATGTGAAGGAGATGCTATAACCACATCTAGCTAAGTGGATGGGTCACTATTGTCTAGACATGTACACATGTTCATGAAATACAATAGATGGCCGTAATCACCCCCAGACACACATGGGTAATTTGATGGGTCATGTAGTAATCCGGCCGTAGTGGAGTCTTTGTTTAGACATGTAGCTAGCTAGGTAGCTAGCTAGCTAGCTAAACAATGAACCGGTATAATCCCAACTCGTACTACTACCAATACAAACATTGTCATAGCTAGCTGTAAGCTAACAGACTAGGTTCAATGTTAGCTAGCTAACATTAGGCTATAACCAACAATGCAAATGGTTTTCTGATTAGAATAATATTACTACACAGATCATACACGTAACGTTAGCTATCGAGCCAGCAAGCTAATGTTTGCTAGCTAACTAACAGTACACTTTAACTTGCAATAAAAATAACTTTCTGACAAAATTAGAAACGTATATCTGAAAATGTAGCTAGACTCTTACCCATATACATGGATGAACGCTTCACGGCAGACTGGAACCATTTAACTCTGTTTTGTTTGTAGCTACATCTTGTTGGCCAGTGGTGTGTCAAGTCACTCCGCGGTTCACACTGACCGTGGCGTGTGCAGAAAGTAGCCCATCACTTTTTCCAACTGATCTGTCGATAGCGCCTGTTAAATTCAGGGCATCAATGTTGTTGAAAAGTAGCAAAACTTTTGTAGTTGTCGATGGCTAACGTTATATCTTTCTTTCGGTAGAAAGGACTGTCAACACACACTGAACAGCTCACGTTATAGACAGAAGCATGCTACATGGCAGACCAATCCAAACTAATCTCCCGGCATGTCCAGCCCATCCATTATCTCAGCCAATCATGGCTTGCGGGAAGGTTCCTGTCTTTTTCCGTGGCTAAACCAACTAGGCTCGTAATTTAACAATTGTATTCTTATTTTTGGATGGAATACAAGTTTGTTATAAAGGCACATAAAAGTTAACATGTTCCAGAAGGCATTTTTCCCAATAAAACGCATTTGATAAAAAAGAATTGTTTACGTTCAAATACCGCTCCTGTGAAGTAGTGACATGCGACATACGCCTAGTTTCCTGAAATGAGTCACACGTGTTATGGTCAGCGTTGGGTAAGTTACTTTTTTAAATGTAATCTGTTAGTTGCTAGTGACCTGTCTAAAATGTACACCTATAAGATCCAGTGGTGGAAAAAGTACTAAATTGTCATACTTGAGTAAAAGTAAAGATACCTTAATAGAAAATGACTGAAGTAAAAGTGAATGTCACCCAGTAAAATACTACTTGAGTAAAAAGTATTTGGTTTTAAATATCAAAAGTAAATGGAATTGCTAAAATGTACTTAAGTATCAAAAGTAAAAGTATAAATCATTTCAACTTCCTTATATTAAGCAAACCAGATGGCACAATTTTCTTGTTTTTTTAACCAGGGGCATACTCCGACATAATTTACAAACAAAGCATTTGTATTTAGTGAGTCCGCCAGATCAGAGGCAGTAGGGATGACCAGGGATGTTCTCTTGATAAGTGTGTGAATTGGACCATTTTCCTGTCAAAATGTAAATACTTTTGGATGTCAGGGAAAATGTATGGAGTAAACAGTACATTATTTTCTTTAGGAATGTAGTGAAGTAAAAGTGAAAGTTCCCAAAAATATAAATAGTAAAGTACAGATACCCCAAAAAAAACGACTTAAGTAGTACTTTAAAGTATTTTTACTTAAGTACTTTACACCACTGATAAGATCTGATCACAGTCAGACCACAATGCGTCTTTTAATCATGTACACCTGTCTAAAAATGTGGGCACATGTTAAAACCAGGTATAAGTAAGGGCTTAAGTAACACAGCAACATGGATGGCGCTAAACACGGGACACCAGTACAAAGATTTATGAAAATGTAAGCACTCACTACTGTAAGTCGCTCTGGATAAGAGCGTCTGCTAAATGACTAAAATGAGAAATATAAATATGAAGAGTGTAATCATACTTTTAGTCCACCAAGTAGTTTTTTAAGTTTAAGCAAAAAAAAGTGCAGCTAGGTGCAATAAACCCACATATCAGACATGGCATTGCAGTAGGCCTATTCTGAAGCTAGCCTACACAGATGATTGAAGGCAGAAATTGCTGTTGTATCACAGCAAGAGGACATGCTCTAGATGAGCGTCAGACATCCTGTTTCGCTGAGGGGTAAACAAGTTTCCACCATAGCTGAAAAGGCGCTCAACTGGGGTACTGGAGGGCAATGTAGTGTTGTACTTCAGAAACAAGTTCCAGACTATGGGGAACGATTTCAAGGAGTCCAAAGACTTGTCTTTGTCTTCGAGGTACTTCCTCACCTCATCAAATCAAATCAAATCAAATCATATATTATTTGCCACATGCGCCGAATACAACAGGTGTAGACATTACAGTGAAATGCTTACTTACAAGCCCTTAACCAACAATGCAGTTTTTTAAGAAGAAAAAAAAATGTTAAGTAAAAAATAGATAAGTAAAAAAATAAATATATAATAATAATTAAAGAGAAGCAGTAAAATTAAATAACAGTAGGGAGGATATATACAGGGGGGTACCGGGACAGAGAGTCAATGTGCGGGGGCACTGGTTAGTCAAGTAATTGAGGTAATATGTACATGTGGGTAGAGTTAAGGTGACTATGCATAAATAATAAACAGAGTAGCAGCAGCGTAAAAGAGGGGGATGGGGTGGGGTAGGGGGGCAATGCAAATAGTCCGGGTAGCCATGATTAGCTGTTCAGGAGTCTTATGGCTTGGGGGTAGAAGCTGTTAAGAAGCCTTTTGGACCTAGACTTGGCGCTCCGGGACCGCTTGCCGTGCGGTAGCAGAGAGAGTAGTCTATGACTAGGGTGGCTGGAGTCTTTGATAATTTTTAGGACCTTCCTCTAACACCGCCTGGTATAGAGGTCCTGGATGGCAGGAAGCTTGGCCCCAGTGATGTACTGGGCCGTACGCAGTACCCTCTGTGGTGTCTTGCAGTCGGAGGCCGAGCAGTTGCCATACCAGGCGGTGATGCAACCAGTCAGGATGCTCTCGATGGTGCAGCTGTATAACTTTTTGAGGATCTGAGGACCCATGCCAAATCTTTTCAGTCTCCTGAGGGGGAATAGGCTTTGTCGTGCCCTCTTCACGACTGTCTTGGTGTGTTTGGACCATGATAGTTTGTTGGTGATGTGGACACCAAGGAACTTGAAGCTCTCAACCTGTTCCACTACAGCCCCGTCGATGAGAATGGGGGCGTGCTCAGTCCTCTTTTTTTTGTAGTCCACAATCATCTCCTTTGTCTTGATCACGTTGAGGGAGAGGTTGTTATCCTGGCACCACACGGCCAGGTCTCTGACCTCCTTCCTATAGGCTGTCTCATCGTTGTCGGTGATCAGGCCTACCACTGTTGTGTTGTCGGCAAACTTAATGATGGTGTTGGAGTCGTGCCTGGCCATGCAGTCATGGGTGAACAGGGAGTACAGGAGGGGACTGAGCACGCACCCCTGAGGGGCCCCCATTTTGAGGATCAGCGTGGCAGATGTGTTGTTACCTACCCTTACCACCTGGGGGCGGCCTGTCAGGAAGTCCAGGATCCAGTTGCAGAGGGAGGTGTTTAGTCCCAGGGTCCTTAGCTTAGTGATGAGCTTTGAGGGCACTATGGTGTTGAACGCTGAGCTGTAGTCAATGAATAGCATTCTCACATAGGTGTTCCTCTTGTCCAGGTGGGAAAGGGCAGTGTGGAGTGCAATAGAGATTGCATCATCTGTGGATCTGTTGGGGCGGTATGCAAATTGGAGTGAGTCTAGGATTTCTGGGATAATGGTGTTGATGTGAGCCATGACTAGCCTTTCAAAGCACTTCATGGCTACAGACATGAGTGCTACGGGTCGGTAGTCATTTAGGCAGGTTATCTTAGTGTTCTTGAGCACAGGGACTATGGTGGTCTGCTTGAAACATGTTGGTATTACAGACTCAGTCAGGGACAGGTTGAAAATGTCAGTGAAGACACTTGCCAGTTGGTCAGCGCATGCTCGGAGTACACGTCATTGTAATCCGTCTGGCCCTGCGGCCTTGTGAATGTTGACCTGTTTAAAGGTCTTACTCACATTGGCTATGGAGAGCGTGATCACACAGTCGTCCGGGACAGCTGATGCTTTGGCTGTTTGATGGTTCCTCTGCAGTGCCACTGGCCCTTGTTGTTGCACCTCCGAACACAAACAAATTGTCTTCTGACTCATCAGACTCGTTCTGTGCTCCCTCATCAACCTCTTCAGAGTATGTGTTCTCCATAGAAGCTACTTCTTGAACTAATGTGCTCCGCATCTCCTCTCTTTCCAGGGTTGTGCAGAGAATGTCACAAGAGGTATTTTCTCAGAATTTAGACTTCAAGCTTAGGATTGTTGGGATAAGAAAGCCAAGAAAACACTTATTCTCTCCCTGAAGAAGATCAATAGAGAATTCGAGTGGCTGTAGGACTGTACTGTACTCCTTGAGAAAAGCAATCTCACAAGGATGTAGTTTGCTGCTCACACCCAGGTCTTCCCAGATTTGCCCAAGCTGGTCATCTGTGAGGGCTATGAGTTTGGAGATGGCATGGTACTCTGAGCTCCATCTTGCTTGCAATGTCCTCTATTGCCTCTTAAGCTAATGTGGACCTGTGTGCTTTGTTCCAAATGCTGGAGCATTTTGACATTGCACTTCTGTACAATTTTTGTGATGGACCTTGGGATGCAGCTTTGTCCACCTCATTGGTGGCGATGAGGTTGAGGGTGTGTGCCACACAACGTTGATGTGGAGGGAGAAAGAAGTTCAATTCTTGCTCAACCTCCTCAAGAATCCCACCCACATCAGCAAACCTCACTCCTTCATCTGTCTCATCTTGCTCTTCTTCATTTCCACTGAACTCCCGGAATGCCTTTACAAAGTTGCTTCCATTATCTGTCACTGTGGCCCTCACTTTGCACTGAATTTTAAAGTCCATGTATTTCACTTAACTTGGCAGCAATCACATCGTAGGTATGACGCCCTCTCAGTCTCGCACAAGCCAAAGCAGCTGACTTCCTCTCTAAGGTGTCCTCCTCGATCCAGTGGCATGTCATGCCGAATAAGCTTCTGTTATGGGCAGACCAGATGTCTGCTGTGGTGCAGACTGACTTTACGCTCTGGAGTTTGGTGGAGAGAGCTTCTTTCATACCTCAAATTCCTGCATCAGTCTTTCTACACATGACCATTCTCCCACCACTGATTCCTTCTACTAGCTTGCAGAATGAAGGCCCCTCTACTAGTGAAAAGGGTTGCACATCCTCTATGATGAAGTCAAATACCAGGTGACTAACCTGGCTTTGTGAGGTGTGTGGTTCTCCTGGTTATAGTTTTGCTTGTTTCAATGGTGTACAAGATGTCCCATTTTGGCCATCTGTAGATGGCTGTGCATCTCTGCTCTCCTCCATGTCATCTGGCTCCCTTTTCCTGCTCAGGGTCTTCCATTGATTGTTATGCATCCTCTGAAAAAACAAAATGTAATTACTTAACTATGACACTACAAGATAAGTAAAATAACAGTGGAGTGAGCACCTTGTTATTGTTTCAATTAAGGATTGTAGCTTTACCCAACTTTTGTCCACCTTTTGAAACATATGTTTCACTTTGTATAGTCTGCCCCTGTCTGATAACCACAGGGCTGGGGTTGGAACATGTAACCACTTACACATGGACAAAGCTGTGGATGCAAGGATGTCTATGGTGCTTTATATTGTTTGTCTAGAAATACCCCCCAAAAAACGATGGACTAATAGAGTATTATACTTTGAGTTATGATTGAATAATACAGGCATTTATTTGGGTTGAAAAGCACATTACTCTGAAACCATAGCTAGCTAGCCAACTCTGTTAGCAACAACCCTGACAGTGAGCATCTTGTTATGTTGGGTTACAGAGTGCAACTAGCTTTCAAAACTTGTTTTAAACTTTTGATTTAGCTAGCTAGCTAGGCTATGTAGCCCAGTAAATCGCACCCAACAATCTACAACTGATTTATCTTAGTTAAAATAGATTTAATTAGCGAAATTGTTAACAAATTAGCACAATAGCATACTTGCTATGATATCTTGCTAACTACAGTAGACCGACAGAACACCTTTAAGTGAGCAGCCTACCGCATAGTTTAGGAGAGTTGGCAAGCAAATTAGCAAACTAAACAGGATAGCTAGCTAGAAATCTGACTGACTAACTAGCTAGTAGTCTCTGACATCTCCGACCTATGCTGGAACATTGGTAACATTGTGAAGACAACCTGTCTGTCTCTAGAGACTAGCTAGCTAAGCAAGCTAACGTGCCACACCTGCCAATCGTCATCCTTACCGTCAAGTGTTTCTTCAGGTTCGAAGTCTCTGGATGTCGACAGCCGCTTTACCGTGGGCAAATATAGTTTGCATTGAACTGTTACATTCCTGCCCATTTCATCTTTGAACACAAATTGTTCTTTGAAACGCCATCCAAAGAAATGCACTGCATTGGCGCGCCATACCTTTTTCTTTTGTGACCGTGTATGTTTCTCAAAGCTGAACTTTTTCGGTTAATGACTGACGTTATTATGAAAACAGGCAATTGTTTCATCTAAAAAAGAAAAAAATCTGCAAACATCCCTTCTACATTTGAAGGTAATCCTAGAAGTAATTATCTACTTTTTCAAAAGTATCGGTAATCTGATTACAACAGTTAGTTTTTTTGTAATCCATTACATGTAATCCGTTACTCCCCAACCCTGGTTATGGTTGTGTAGGTCTCTCTCTCTAACTTATCTTCCTCCTTTCCTGTCCAGTTCCCTGACCAGGCCACCCAGTTGAAGTGGAATGTCCAGTTCTGTCTGACCATCCCCCCCAGCGCCCCTCCCATTGCTCCCCCAGGAACTATCGCAGTGGTGCTCAAGTCCAAGATGCTCTTCTTCGTAAGTACTGGTCCATTCTCACCTGCCATGACCTTTTGACAAGTGTTGTTACATAAGTCTTATAACAGAGGGTTTGTGTTACCATATATTTGTTTTAATGCCTTACAATTGAATTCCAGTGACGTGTACTGAAGTTGTGTAAAGTATAGCTAACCCTGTTCTCTCCTTGTATCCCCCCCCCCCAAGCTCCAGTTGACCCAGAGGCTGCCGGTGCCCCAGGAGCCGGTCAACATCATTGTTCCCATCGTATACGACATGGCCATGGGCCTGACCCAGCAGGCTGACATCCCGAGACAACACTCCTCCTCTGGGGCTGCAGCGCTCATGGTCTCCAACATCCTCAAGCGGTTCAATGAGCTGCACCCCGCACGACAGGGTCAGTGGGATTGTCCACACACAAAAAATAGAATATGAAACATAGGAAATAAGATGCACAGTGAAAGATTTGATTGGAACACTTGGATAGAAAAGCAAGAAAAACAATATTGTTTTGTTTTTTTGTTGGTATTATACTAATATTGGGTGTGTTTTTGTCTCCTTACAGGTGAGTGCACAATCTTTGCCTCAGTTCACGAGCTCATGGCCAACCTCAACCTGCCCCCCGGTGGTCGCCAGTAGCAACCGCACCTCCATGGTCAGAAACGGAACTTCCTGGTCAGAAACTGAACTAGAACCAGAACCCACCTCAATGCGGTTCCATTCTGGAACAGGGCAAGGTTCCTTTCTGGAGTCTAGTGAACTGAAGACGAAGTGTGCCCACTGGATTTCCTAATGCAACATATCTCCTCTCTGCCTCAGCCAACCGACTTAAAACTAATTTTTTTAATGTCGAAAAAAGGGAGCAGAATTATGCAGAACGTTGGTTTATTCTTGATAAAGAACATATGACTCAAATTAATGAGCAACTGCAGGTGTGGGAGTGTATCTTGAAAGAGAGACAAGTATTCAGTGTAAAAAGAACTTAAAAGGCTGCTTTTACACAGGCTGCCCAATTCTGATATTTTGTCCAGTAATTGGTCTTTTGACCAATTGCATCAGAGCTTTTCACATCAGATCATTTTCGGAGCTGATCTGATTGATCAAAAGACCAATTAGTGAAAAATATTTTAATGATTGGGCTGCCTGTGTAAATGCAGCCAAAAATGTCTTTCTCCAGATGCACTTCTTATCAAAGGATTCACAAATTAAGAATATGGGTGTTTACCTAAAGATGTACATTGTTGTATATTTCAGTATTGAAAAGAATAATAAGCCAGTTGGATGAGTAGGACTTTTGCTAGAGTGTGACTTCACATTCTTTCTTTTTTTATAATGCAAGATATCAATACTGTTGTGGTATTGGGGATGTATTCTTTCTTAGTACACTATTTAAATGTCATTTTCCCTGATTGATGTCAAGACCTAGGCCCTTTTTAGTTCAAATATGTCACTTTGAATCACAGGAGGCTGCTGAGGGGAGAATGGCTCATAATAATGGCCGGAACTGCGCAAATGAAATGGCATTAAACACATGGAAACCATGTGTTTGATCATTAAACACATGGAAACCATGTGTTTGATGTATTTGATACCATTCCACCGATTCTGCTCCAGTCATTACCACGAGCCCGTTCTCCGAAATTAAGGTGCCACCAACCTCCTGTGCAGTTTGAATACTGTGAAACTGTGACAAACTTCATAAGCCAGCTGTATTTTATTATGACTGCTTTTGAGTACTGAATGAAGAATCGAAGACCCATTGTCTGTATTTGATTACTATTTAATAAACCAGTCAAAAACGTGAGTTTTGTGTCAATTTGTCTGTTTTGTCCAGTCTCTGTGGTGATTCACAATGAGACTAAATAAAAACAGTCACTTTCGCCTCGCTGTGTATCGATTTATGATGACATCATCCAGAAAGCCGACTGGTCTTAAATAGAGGTAGGTCCAAAACATCAAAGCTGCTGCTCGATCGAAAATGGGTGTGAAAATGGTAGGCAATATCTACTAATCTGATGTATATTATATCAAGCTTTTCTCTAGTAATGTGTGTGTGATGTATTTCCGATGCATACTTGCTTTTGCTAGTTTTCATTTCTCATGATGTACTATATTTCACATTGCTGAATGTTTTGATGGATTCGATCTGAACGATTAATTGATTTTGAACCGTTCAAATATACCTCCGTGATCTTGAATGCACCCCTTGTGTTCGACAAATATAATAATGATCCGTGATGAGGGGAAAGGCAAATGTTCTCCGCAGCGATACACGGCCACTAACACACACCAACGTTATATGTTTTCATTATCTTTTTTTTCTAGATGATAAAGGTCGGTGTGTCAGATCGATAATAGGTTGATAACGCTAATCGAGATATGGCAGCAGTCAGCTTCTCCGAGGCGCTCTGTCAGCCGTGCGTTTATCACGAGAAATTCAGAGGTAAGTCGAGCATCATTATTTTCTAAATGTATTGCATGTGCGATTTAACAGGTTATCACACGACGTACAATGGCGTACTGCTTTGATTTATTTTATTTTCGCATTGTACACATATTCTCGCGTACAATAAGGTTTCCTCTGTTCTACACATTACATTCCTAGCTATCTGTACTATTCTAAACGTTGCAATCCTCAACAACAAAAGAAACCTTACCTGTGCTGAAACCCCTGTGGTCAGTTGAGCTGAATGTGAAGAGACCCCTGATGCCTGTCCACCTGAGTCCAGAGCAGGTGGGCCTGGAGATGCTGTATCTCTGTGGACAACTGGACCTTCTCATCAGGGCACAGGTACACCAGGTGAGAACTCATGCACCCCATCTGAGTATACCCTTCCTCACCAGAACTTACTGATACACTTGAGTATGAGAGTACTGTCATGGATAACTTGAGACATTTTGATATTGTGTATTTGGAGATAAACTGTATTATGTTTAGTAGACCTACTCTATGTAGATGTGCACATCCTCTTTTGAAATGTATTTTCACTCCCATTCCCCTGTAAAACAGTTCCAGGAGCAGCTGAGACAGGACTGTAGCCCTGAGGAGTCGGACACTTTCCAGGAGCAAGGTGAGTCTCAATCAGAACAGAACAGATGCTCTAAAGTAGGCCTAACACTAACTGCAGCTCTTGTCACCTTGCCTACTGTACCACAGACCTGTGATTCCTACTAGTGTCTAATGCCCCTTTGTATTTATCCAGGGGCAGAGATTATTGACCAGATGCTCCAATGCTTAGAACACCTGCCAAAACCTATGCCGCACCTGGAGGTAGTACCACATCTACCTATAACAACATATAAATATAGCGGGAGGCAGCAAGTTTCACGTTTTATTAGTCGTATGTAAGGGATACACATGGTATACACCGTCCAACTAAATGCTTACTTGCAGGTTCCTTCTCGACAATGAAACAACAATTAGAACTAATTAAAGATAAGAATACAAACATGAAGTAAATGGCTCCGTAGAATAAACATTTTAGCGTAAGTATAATACAGGAAGGCACATTTTATAGTCCAATATTTACACTTGTTTTGGGGAAGGGCGGGGTTCAAGCTATGGCCATACAGTGCCACCATCAGGACAAATTGGACACATCGCCCTAGGATTAGCTACTTCTGTACTCCTTACCACGCTTGCCAAATATCAGAACTCAAAATCAAACAGATTGTGCAATATGCTTTTAATATATTTTGGAGAAAAAAATTATGTCGACTTTAAATGTCTAGACCAATCGGCAAGACTCTAGCTCAATTAATATGGCCGTTATAAGCCAATAAGCTTCTATGAATGGCTTTTCCTATCCAACAGCGCCCCCATGCGGCCAAACAGAACCATACTATACAGGTTAGCTAGACTCACATCCCTGGGCATCAGGGATGTAGTGCTGCCGGAGCGCAACTTTTTTTGATTTGAGAATACATGAAGCTGGTAAAAATATTTCTGGACAATTATTTCTGAAGCTGAATCAATGTCCCGCAAGATCACATATAGATGAATGAGTATTTTACATAACAGAACCGAATATAATAACATAGCATAGTAGGCCTATAACGTTAATGTTGCACCAAAAACGCCTCCTCATTTCTATTGAGATTTTAAGAGCTGAAGCTAAATAGTCACATTGCTTTTCTCATGTGGCCAAAACTCAACAGCACACGCCACTAGGCAGAATATATGCTTTGATTGAAACAAAATACAAGAAAGGCTAATAGTTTGTTAACACCATCTGCTCTAGTTCGCTCACGAAACAGTAATTGAAGATCTAAATGCATATTCCCATATTCCCATGAAACTGCTTAAGACCAAGTGATTGGCATGCAGACACAGTTTGGACATTTCACCGGTAAAATGTGAAGAATTATCATTCATGATTGTCAGTGATGATAGCCTATTTTTGAAATGAGGTATGGCTAACTTGGTGTTTGAGGGTATCTAAAATAGAACATTTCTTGAGATAATATGTGTGGGCATAGGCAGACATTGAAATTGGAGGATGCATTTTATGCACATTCTATACTAATATTCAATAGGCTACATCTGTCTGTACACATTTTAATTGAGAAATAATGATGTAAAAAAAAACATATTTTCATGACTCTGGGTCAAACAGATCAAGAGATAAATATGTGCCCATTATAGCGCCACAATGTGGTCGATCTGACTGCGCTTGCATATGTTTAGTCTTTACAGTGTTTAGAACATGTACATCAAGTTATGATATGAATAACCGTGTATGATTTACATGCATTTATGTCTTAAATCACGCCCACTTGAATATTTATTGGTCCATGTTGTTTAAGATACTAGCCTGGAAAATATTACATTGCGAGACCTTGGTTCATAGATACTATATATCAAGTTTCATGACAATCGGTCATTCGGTGCCAGAGTAGCGGACCTTATGGTTCCTTGAGGCAAATGTGTTCTTTGTGAGGAGAGAAACTTATATACTGAATTCCATGACTCTAGGTCACACAGGGTCAGGGGGGTGAGCTTTAAAAGTTAGCATTTTCAGTCACTTGTTATAGCCCCACCATGTGACCAATTGGCATGGCATTGCATTAGAGGGTGTGGCCCTTGGCCCTTTACCATCATGCAAGGTTACATCCTCTGTCTTTTTTTCACCAAATCTGTGGAGAACCGGAATAATGAACGCTAACAAATTTAATTGGGTTTGACCCAGCTTCGCTGCTTGAACCCCTAATAAGTATGTAATTCATCTGTTGATCTTCTATGCCATAGATATTCTCAATTATTTTTAAGGATATGTTTAAAAAAAATTATGAATGTGATTTGTCAGAATTGTGAATGATGTGTGGTTTTCTCAGGACTATCTGGACATGGTGGGTCTGTCGACCATGTACCCTCGCGTGGAGGTCTTCCTCATCCAGGGCAGTCCAGTAGACATGCTGGAGAAACCCCCAATGGACGGTAGGATCAGGGGTTAGAGCAGCCCAGTGGAGACACCCCTATTGATGGTATTGAGTCAGGGTTTAAGGGGTCAGTTCAGTTCATCTTTATTTTGACAAGATAGTCCACTCAGCAATAATTATTGTCCCAGTCAGGGGTTAGGGAGCCCTAACAGATCAAGCAGTAGATCAAGCAGTGACACCTGATTCAACTTATCATGGTCTTGAATTTAAACTACAGTTATTTGAACCAGGTGTGTAAAAACTGGTCTTGAACAAAAACCTGCCCTTCAGGACTAGAATTGCCCACACTATATCTACACTGAACAAAAATATAAACGCAATATGTAAAGTGTTGGTCTCATGTTTCATGAACTTAAATAAAAGATCCCAGAAATGTTCCATACGCACAAAAAGTGTATTTCCCTCAAATGTTGTGCACAAATTTGTTTACATCCGTTAGTGAGCATTTCTCCTTTTCCAAGATAATCCATCCAATTGACAGGTGTGGCATTTCAAGAAACTGATTCAACGTAATGATCATTACACAGGTGCCTCTTGTGCTGGGGATAATGAAAGGCTACTCTAAAATGTGCAGTTTTGTCACACAACACAATGCCACAGATGTCTCAAGTTTTGAGGCAGCGTGCAGTTGGCATGCTGATTGCAGGAATGTCCACCAGAGCTGTTGCCAGAGAATGTAAATGTTAATTTCTCTACCATAAGCCGCCTCCAACAACATTTTACAGAATTTGATAGTCCAACCGGACTATCGTCCAACCGGCCTCACAACCGCAGGCCACATGTTACCACCCCATCCCAGGACCTCCACATCAGGCTTCTTCACCTCCAGGACAGCTGATGAAACTTTGGGTTTGCACAACCAAATAATTTCTGCACAAACTGTCAGAAATCTGCATGCTAGTCGTCCTCACCAGGGTCTTGACCTAACTGCAGTTCGGCGTCATAACCGACTTCAGTGGGCAAATGCTCACCTTCGATGGCCACTGGCACGCTGGAGAAGTGTACTCTTCACGGATGAATCCCGGTTTCAATTGTACCGGTCAGATGGCAGACAGTGTGTATGGCGTTGTGTGGGCGAGCGGTTTGCTGATGTCAACGTTGTGAACAGAGTGACCCATGGTGGCGGTGGGATTATGGTATGGGCAGGCATAAGCTATGAACACAATTGCAATTTATCGTTGGCAATTTGAATGCACAGAGATACCGTGACGAGATCCTGAGGCCCATTGTCATGCCATTCATTAAAAATGTCCCAGTTCTTCCATGGCCTGCATACTCAACAGACATGTCACCCATTGAGCATGTTTGGGATGCTCTGTTCAGGATGCTGTGTTCCATTTCCCGCCAATATCCAGCAACTTCACACAGTCATTGAGGAGGAGTGGGACAACATTCCACCGGCCACAATCAACAGCCTGATCAACTCTATTTGAAGGAGATGTGTCGCGCTGCATGAGGCAAATGGTAGTCACACCAGATACTGACTGGTTTTCTGATCCACGCCCCTACCCTTTTTTTTAAAGGTATCTGCGACCAACATATGCATATCTGTATTCCCAGTCATGTGAAATCCATAGATTAGGACCTAATGTATTTATTTCAATTGACTGATTTCCTTATATGAACTGTAACTCAGTAAAATCTTTTAAATTGTTTATATTTTTGTTCAGTGTAGTATGCAATGGTTATAAGCAGTTTATAAGCAGACATTTCACCTTATAAACTGCTTATACCTAAGATTGTGTCTCTGTTGCAGAATACTTCTCACACATCGGGAGGCTCAATCAGCTACTAGTACTTAGTCAGCAGCTAGAGGAGGATGTGAAACATCTCGGGAGCCACAAATACATCGCCCACCAGCTGTCAGTCATATATGTAAGTGAATATGGTCTACTCTACTCATTTCTATTCTGTATATTCTATTCTATTGGTAGCCGATCAGTCCGCTCTCTATGTGTATTATATTCATAGGTCAAACTCGACAGTACAATAATAATTTCCCCCATTGCACATACACGGTTTCACAGTGATTTAGACACTTTATCTTACCTGTGTTGTAGCAAGTGCTCAGCTCATTCCGAGGCATCCAGCCGCTGTCAGTCCTGAAGAAAGAGATTGAGGCCAACTTCAGACAGATGAAGACGTCTTTGGTGACAGAGGAGGGCTCCAGGCAGGAGCCTCAGCTCCCAGCATACTACATCAGCTGGTGAGAGCAGGAGCTAGGGCTTTACATTATGGACTGCATTCAATTATCACACTTTGCTTGCAGTGCAGTGAGTGCACCATGTTTCACTATCAGGCCAACCTAATCGTAACTCCAAACCCAGTTATTATTCATTGGTTTAATGTGATAACTTTACGGTGATAATCATAGTCTACTCTTTTGGAATGTGTGTCCCTACAGGATATTAGAGCTGACTCGCAGTATAACGTCGACAGTCTCCTCGCTACCAGAGGAGCTCACTGAAGACCTGAGTCCAGCCATGACATTTGTGTCCCAGCTATGACATCAGACCTGACCTCTACCTGACCTCACAACACTTAACATTGGGCCTGTGTTAACTATTACCAACCCGTGGAGCTGAGGGTCAACATTTTATACTTTTTTAAAAATTAATTTCCGACAGACCCACCCAGTGATTCAAGAATGATGTTTTGACATATCAATGTCATTTGATTGAATAGGGTCCCGAGCGCTCATTGGTTAACCGGATTAATGTGTTATGTGTTAGGCCAAATGTCTAAAAAGAGGTGCTAAATAATGTTACTGTATGAAATTGCATTTTAACAAATTAATGTTTACATTGGCCAATAAATTAAATTGAGAGATAAGCCTATAGACTGAAAATCTACTGAATTCGGAATGTCAATAACAGAGATTGACAACCTCATGAGTCATAGATTTTATAAAAAAATAAATAATAAAATAAGTATGTGGCTGCGGATCCGACTTTTTGGGGCTTCTGCGCATGTGCGGATCACGTTCTACGCATGTGTATATTCTCTACTTTATGCAAAGACAACAGGCTAACCAGGCGAATGGTGGTCGTTTAATAAAGTTAGATCGAAGCTGAATCCAGAGAAGAACGACTGCCCCCTCTCATTGAAGCCACGGAAGTTCAAGGCCGACCGCGGTACAGCAGGCATTGTTAGCAAAAAAACAGGATCCCCCATTATAGTGTATGGAAAAATAGAAATCCTCATGGTCAATCTTCGTCTAAATAAATACACATTTGAAAGACAATCATGGTACCAATAATTGCTTCTAATACACCAGCTGTATGTCATTGAACCGATTATTTTAAAATCGCAGACAGAAGAAGTTATAAGGATAGTTTAGTTGCTAATGGCAGCCTGCAAGTACCCCAGTTGGCTATCAACTTGCATTACTCAGCACTGCAATGTCTCTTCCTGGAGTACCTCAAACTGCGCATGTTATGTATCCCTGAGGTGAGGAGCTGTCTGGACACGCATGGTGCCCAAATTGATGACGTCTGTCGAGCAGCGAGAGTCGAGTGGAGACCAACGGATTCGGTTCAGTCAGTCGTCCTGATGAGCTAGCTAGTTTATGCTTGTGGCTACAAACTTCAGCGAGAATTTGAAACTTGTCTGCCGAAATTGGGATTTGGGAGTGTTCAGAATTACATTTAAATTTTTTTACATTTGTTCAGAATCATTCCATTTTTATCGTAGTAACTTTATTTTTTACAAAAATGTAAAGTTAGACGTTTTAGTTGAAAATCACTACAATAAATGTGCTTTAGTTGGAACCCTGTTCTGATATTGGCTACACTATTTAGCTACTTCCCTCTCCTTACTGCGGCAAGCAGGAGCGAAGGATACTGGGCACCATGTTGTTGTGTTGTCGGGTTGCAGCGCAAACGCTCCCCATCGAGCAGTGTATACTATCACGGGGACATCCAGATGGTTACTACAAATACCAAGTTATTTCTTATGTATGTAGCCCAACCGGCCACAGATGGCACTATTACGCATTTTACATATTTTCTCGTCTGCGTCCAAGAGTATACACTCGTGTCCCCCGGCGACCGGCCTGTACATAAAACATTCTCCATTCAGGTTACTTCCTGATGTTGCACAAGCTTATGAGCAAGGGGTAAACAACAGACTGCTGCATAGTGGTTGGCTGAACATCAGGAAGTAGCATTAGCCACTCTAGCATGGTGGTGGAAAATTGTGTTTTATTTAGACAGTACGCATATTTTCCCAGTCTTTTCTGCCAGCTAACCATTTAAAGCTAGTTTAGGAGGAACTCCGGACACAAGTGTATAACTGGCTGCATAGAGTCCAGTTGTACACAGATGACAAATGACTTACAAGGAATAATAGTGCCATGTGCGGCCGGTTGGGCAATCGTGAAGCCTGCTTTCCTACTCAAAATAAATACTATAAGTTATTTCCCCCTTGCCGATCAAAATAAACATCACTTTATTTTACAAGTTTTATTCATTCTACTGGATCAGTGTCCCGAAATCGGGACAGTTGTTGCTCAATATGCGATATTTGACTAGAATGGCGTTGTAAACAACAGCCAACTTTCCGGGACATAGACATGTCTTATATTGTCAGAAAGCTTAAACGATTGTTAATCTAACTGCAGTGTCCAATTTACAGTAGCTATTATAGCGAATAAATACCATGCTATTGTTTGAGGATAGTTCACAACAACAAAACACTTTTATCAAGTCAACTGGTTTGATACATTCACCTCTGACGGTAAATAATGTACTTCCATTCAGTAATCTTGCTCTGATTTGTCGTCCTGAGGGTCCCAGAGATAAAATGTAGCGTAGTTTTGTTTGATAAAATCCATTTTTATGTCCTGACACGATCCAAATCAAATGTTATTTGTCACATGCGCCGGTAGACCTTACAGTGAAATGCTTACTTACAAGCCCTTAACCAACAATGTAGTTTTAAGAAAAATAAGTGTTAAGTAAAAAATAGATAACTAAAAAATAGCAATAACAAATAATTAAAGAGCAGCAGTATAATAACAGTAGCAAGGCTATATACAGGGGGTACCGGCACAAAGCCAATGTGCGGGGGCACAGGTTAGTCGAGGTAATTTAGGTAATATGTACATGTAGGTAGAGTTAAAGTGACTATGCATAGATAATAAACAGAGAGTAGCAGCAGTGTAAAAGAGGGGGTGGGGTGGGGGGGGGGGGGACAATGCAAATAGTCCGGGTAGCCATGATTAGCTGTTCAGGAGTCTTATGGCTTGGGGGTAGAAGCTGTTAAGAAGCCTTTTGGACCTAGACTTGGCGCTCTGGTACCGCTTGCAGTGCGGTAGCAGAGAGAACAGTCTATGACTAGGGTGGCTGGAGTCTTTGACAATTGTTAGGGCATTCCTCTTACACCGCCTGTTAGAGTTTACATAGCTGGCCATAAATGGATCTTGCATTTTACTTAGGGCCTTCCTCTGACACCGCCTGGTATAGAGGTCCTGGATGGCAGGAAGCTTGGCCCCAGTGATGTACTGGGCCATACGCACTACCCTCTGTAGTGCCTTGCGGTTGGAGGCCGAGCAGTTGCCACACCAGGCAGCGATGCAACCAGTCAGCATGCTCTCGATGGTGCAGCTGTAGCACTTTTTGAGGCTCTGAGCACCCATGCCAAATCTTTTCAGTCTCCTGACGGGGAATAGGCTTTGTCGTGCCCTCTTCACGACTGTCTTGGTGTGTTTGGACCATGATAATTTGATGGTAATGTGGACACAAAGGAACTTGACTCCCTCAACCTGCTCCAGTACAGCCCCGTCGATGAGAATGGGGGCGTGCTCGGTCCTCCTTTTCCTGTAGTCCACAATCATCTCCATTGTCTTGATCACGTTGAGGGAGAGGTTGTTATCCTGGCACCACACGGACAGGTCTCTGACCTCCTCCCTATAGGCTGTCTCATTGTTGTCGGTGATCAGGCCTATCACTGTTGTGTCGTCGGCAAACATAATGATGGTGTTGGAGTCGTGCCTGGCCATGCAGTAATGGGTGAACAGGGAGTACAGGAGGGGACTGAGCACGCACCCCTGAGGGGCCCCCGTGTTGAGGATCAGCGTGGCAGATGTGTTGTTACCTACCCTTACCACCTGGGGGCAGGAAGTCCAGGATCCAGTTGCAGAGGGAGGTGTTTAGTCCCAGGGTCCTTAACTTAGTGATGAGCTTTGAGGGCACTATGGTGTTGAACGCTGAGCTGTAGTCAATGAATAGCATTCTCACGTATGTGTTCCTTTTGTCCAGGTGGGAAAGGGCAGTGTGGAGTGCAATAGAGATTGCATCATCTGTGGATCTGTTGGGGCGGTATGCAAATTGGAGTGGGTCTAGGGTTTCTGGGATAATGGTGTTGATGTGCGCCATGACCAGCCTTTCAAAGCACTTCATGGCTACAGACATGAGTGCTACGGGTCGGTAGTCATTTAGGCAGGTTATCTTAGTGTTCTTGGGCACAGGGACTATGGTGGTCTGCTTGAAACATGTTGGTATTACAGACTCAGTCAGGGACAGGTTGAAAATGTCAGTGAAGACACTTGCCAGTTGGTCAGCACATGCTCGGAGTACACGTCATTGTAATCCGTCTGGCCCTGCGGCCTTGTGAATGTTGACCTGTTTAAAGGTCTTACTCACATCGGCTATGGAGAGCGTGATCACACAGTCATCCGGAACAGCTGATCAAATCAAATCAAATCAAATTTTATTGGTCACATGCGCCGAATACAACAGGTGCAGACATTACAGTGAAATGCTTACTTACAGCCCTTAACCAACAGTGCATTTATTTTTAACAAAAAAAGTAAAAATAAAACAACAAAAAAAGTGTTGAGAAAAAAAGAGCAGAAGTAAAATAAAATAACAGTAGGGAGGCTATATATACAGGGGGGTACCGGTGCAGAGTCAATGTGCGGGGGCACCGGCTAGTTGAGATAGTTGAAGTAATATGTACATGTGGGTAGAGTTAAAGTGACTATGCATAAATAATTAACAGAGTAGCAGCAGCGTAAAAAGGATGGGGTGGGGGGGCAGTGCAAATAGTCCGGGTAGCCATGATTAGCTGTTCAGAAGTCTTATGGCTTGGGGGTAGAAGCTGTTGAGAAGTCTTTTGGCCCTAGACTTGGCACTCCGGTACCGCTTGCCGTGCGGTAGCAGGGAGAACAGTCTATGACTAGGGTGGCTGGAGTCTTTGACAATATTGAGGGCCTTCCTCTGACACCGCCTGGTATAGAGGTCCAGGATGGCAGGAAGCTTGGCCCCAGTGATGTACTGGGCCGTACGCACTACCCTCTGTAGTGCCTTGCGGTCGGAGGCCAAGCAGTTGCCATACCAGGCGGTGATGCAACCAGTCAGGATGCTCTCGATGGTGCAGCTGTATAATTTTTTGAGGATCTGATGACCCATGCCAAATCTTTTCAGTCTCCTGAGGGGGAATAGGCTTTGTCGTGCCCTCTTCACGACTGTCTTGGTGTGTTTGGACCATGATATTTTTTTATTTTTTTTATTTCACCTTTATTTAACCAGGTAAGCCAGTTGAGAACAGGTTCTCATTTACAACTGCGACCTGGCCAAGATAAAGCATAGTAGTGCAATAAAAAAAAACAACACAGAGTTACATATGGGGTAAAAAACATAAAGTCAGAAATACAACAGAAAATATATATACAGTGTGTGCAAATGTAGCAAGTTATGGAGGTAAGGCAGTAAATAGGCTATAGTGCAGAATAATTACAATAGTATTAACACTGGAATGCTAGATGTGCAAGAGATTATGTGCAAATAGAGATACTGGGGTGCAAAAGAGCAAAATAAATAACAATATAGGGATGAGG